ACAAGTGAGCAGTTTAGTTTTAGCAACTCAAAGCATTTTAACATATAAAAAATATGCTTGTGTTATTTTTGTAACTTTTAATCAACAGCTACAAATGAGTATAATCTACTGTTTTCTGTCTTCTGATTGGAAGATGTATGTTTACGTTTTGTTAGGCGCTTGGAGGATGATTCTGCGTTGTATGAGTCATTATGCAACAGTTTACACTCATGTAAGCTTCATGTTTTTTACACATTTACAGTGAATTCTTTAAAATCTTCGGATAGCAGATATCCGGCAGTGCTGGGTTGTAAAGTGTGTGTTTACCTGTTCAGCAGGAACAGCTGTGTCAAACGTGCATTTAAATGTTGGTATGTATGCACCATGCTCTGTAATCAGTCCTTTCTCATTACCTTCATCATTGAAAAAGGTGTTTGGTTGTATTTTATTTAATTTATTTATTGTTTGTTTAAATAGTTTTGTTCCAGTCCTCACAGGATTTAACCATTTCTAAAAAATAAGACCAGTCAGGATAAAGGATATTATCAGGTTTATTGGGTTCAAAAAAGCAGCTTTATTACTCAAAAAGATACAAATATCAAGAAGTAAAATTTAAAAAAAATGAATAAAAAAAAAAAGGAAATGAAACTTGGTAAACTGTCAAAAATAGAATTACCAGAAATTAGGTCATAAACAGCCAGTATTCATTAAATCATTTTGTGAATTTCTGCTTTAAGACATTTCTTGTCTTATTTTCTTTCACATCATTTAAGAATAGTCGAATAGATGAAAGTAAGTGTGAGCTGCTGCTAGCTATAGCTTTCAGAGTTATAAATGACAAATTCTTTCTGACATGATGAGTAATATTATAAATTTGTGATGGGATGATCAGATTGGTATTAAATTAATTTATCTCTAAATCGTCACAGATAAAGTTTAATTTCTTGGAATCAGATAGCATTCACAGTATTTAGGACAAGTTATAGATCTGAACTTTTCACTAGACCGTTGTAACATCTTGAATCTGTCCCTCGCTGCAGATTTGCTGCTGTTTTTGAGATAGTTTTCCTTTTGAAGAGCCAGTTCTCAAACTAGTCCATCTAACTCTGTACCATTAGATTTTTGCCTAACATCCCTAAGTTGACCTCATTTAGCCAAGGGACATCGTCCACACGTTTTCTTCCACTCTGAGGCAGTTATGTGAATGGAAGGCGTGCTGCCGTATTTTTTTCCATGTGAAGAAGCTTTGTGCTTCATACCTTACCAGACAAGCCGTTCTTGTTGGGTGTTTTTATAAGTGTCCCATTATTACCATTTGCATAAAGTGTCCTATTGTTCTCTCATGACCTTAAGCATGTATGTTATGCTACATACAGGATGTGTTGAGTTTTATTTTTTGTTTTTGTTTTTTTATGTTTGGTTTCACCTTAAGATGAATTTCAATGTGTTCAGCTTGTAGATAATCTTTGTCTTTATAGAAAGAGTAGCAGAAAATGGCTCTAAGCTCAGTGCTCTTGTTTCTCCTTGTTGGCATTATGCTGGCACACGCCTGTATGCTCCAGAGGAGCAAACCATCAGAGCCTCCTTTTATAGAGCTGGTTACGCTGATGAAAATCTGTTTATTAAGTGAACTGGATAAGCAGTGCCGAGCGGGTGTTTTCCATACTGACTCCAAGGGAAGAGGCAAAGGTCTACTTACTCTGCATTTTTGACTTCATATTTCATAACGATGGGTAAAAGTGGTTTGTTAGCCATTGATGTTTTATAACCAATCGTCTTTATCATTGAATTAATATCACCTAGCAATAAGTGCTTGTATTATTTTATGTAATAGTTTGGCTCATGTTCCTTTCCAATAAATGTAATGCTCCTTGTAAATCAGAGGCTCATTAAAAACCTTCCTTGTGATCTACCTCAAACATAATGCTGCTTTGATAAAAAAAAAATTTAAGAGAAAAAAAAAGCTTCTCAGATTTCAATGAGAACCCGGTGTGGACATTTACATCTCCCGGTTTGCCAATATTAGCCTAAAGCACCACGAAGCCGGTTGACGGCACCCTTCCCGAGTCACGTTTGTGTGCTTATATGTATTAAGTGGGATGAGGTGCAGCTCATTAAACAACACTGGAGCTGTTTCCGCGGATACAGAGGGCGTGTCGCTTTATTACTCTTATCAACAGAAAATGGAGAGTGCTTATTTCAGCTGGGGTCGTATGTGGAGATAAAGAACCTATAAATGTTTGTAGCTAGCCTCCATATTCATTCTAAACAACCCAAAAAACTCATCTGCCAGCTGGATTCAGGGTTTTATAGACCTTCTCCTTCCTTTAGGTTCACTAAGATGTGCATAAAACTTAGTGGAAATTTAATTTGCTCATGATTAGAAAGTACTTTTGAGAGATTTTCATGACAAGGCTTCAAAAGGTCAGGTGTCAATGAATATAATATAACCTAACAGTAGGCTTTAATTTAGCTTAAATCTGTTTTTATTTTAGTTCTATTTAAATCCATTAGCATCCAGTTGATGAAAACCTGCATAAGACATCAAATTCATACATAAAGAAAAACTTTAGTAAAGAAATATTTATTTAAATAAACAGTAGGTGTTAAATTTCAGAACAAACTACAGCTGACTCTCAGTGCTGTCACAGCAGTGTGCGGATAACTCTGACCTACTGTTGGATTTAAAGGCTTTACAGTCGCAGCATCTTGTAGAGTTAATAAGCAACTTTATGTTTTATTCACTCTCCCACTGTGACGTCTTCCAGTCCCTGGATGGATTTATTCAGCCATCCATTCAGATGTTCTTCAAGGTTAATTTCTTAAAGCCTGATCTTGTGATGCAGTGTATTATTCCCCGACAGGAATGCTCACACACCCACACCTAAGAGCTGTTTAGAGTGACATGTGGATGGAAGCGAGTGTGTTTGAGGAGAAACCACACACAGGAAGAGGAACATGCAAACTCCATGTAGAAACCTCAGCAAACTATCAAACCCTGCTAACATCTTTGCTGATGTGAATCCTGGATCCTATTAAAGTGGCTGCTATGCATTATAAAATTGAAGTTTTGGATTAACACTTTTAAAAACGGGTAAAGGAAAGAGCCCAAAATTTCTGGAGTCTGGAAAAGCCCAGAAGTATTTCTGTAGTAAATTCTGCTGCTAGCTTTGGTGTTTACATCTTTTTTGCCTGTTTCCTAAACATTCATTTCTAGAAATACTCTTTTCAATGTTAAAATGTTTTAAACCTGTTGGGCTACATTAGTGCAGATATGATCTTTTTCAGTCCAGACTAAGAGGAGATTTGGCTCATGTGATTTTAGAGCATTGTTACTGATAAAATAGCTCAAATGTCGATCTGGGATCATCGTGTTCATGTTTCTTTAGTTGCTATTTTTCTGTTTTCTGTGGCAGAAGAGTGAAACCAATTACTTCTTGACATTTAGTTTTTCAATAAGGTTAGTATAATAATACCAATATTATTAACTTGACAGATAAAACCAGAAAATAACCTAAATGAGCCTTTCTTGATTTTGTATCAAAAACTTGTGCATTGTTGTTTAGTCTTCCACTGATCTCAAAGTAAAGCAGCTAAAATTGTGATTAAATGCATTATTATTATTTTTTACATTCAATTAGTAGAAGAAATGTTTTTATAGTGGATCAGTAAAAACACAATGTGTTTCCTACATCTTTCTCTGAATATTGTGGCATCCTGCAGTAACCCCTGGTTGTTTTGTCAGCTGTTGGTATTTAGGCAAATCACTGTTGGTTATAAGGCTGCTTAAAAGTTCAGGCTGACATGTTGTTGGTTCTTTTTTATGACTGTTTATAGGAAAATGTAAAAGGAATATAACATTTTTCTAACAAATCTAAATAAAATTGTTCAGAAATGTTAGTTTGATTGACTTCACAGAGTAATATTGCTGGTCTTTGTCAATGACCTTTAGATGATAACCTAAAGTATTGAGGAGTACGAGGGTGTGATGTTTGCTGGTTCTAAGCAGGTTGTGGTTCAGACTCTAAAGCTGACGATCTTTTTGCTAGGCTAGCTGGTGGTGAATGGGCTGGTCGCTCTGGTTTGTTGAGGAGCAGATGGAGTTGTGCCAACACAGCCAAGCTCATAACATACTAGTTGTAAGCCAAGCTCACAACTCACTTTTTCAGCTCACAACTAAAAGAGACACCCTCTGAGGTGTCTCTTTCTTTGGATCTGACCAGGATGCTTTATGGAGATCTTAATTGGGGGATTTTTTGGCCACATCTCCCTGGGAGGAGACTGCAAATCTTTTTTCTAAACAGGATTAGGGAAAGACTGGATGACTAGAGGTCCCCTTTGGAGGAATATCTGTTAGTAATGTTAGCACCTTAATCTGAATCTGTAAATAAGGAGAGAAAAGAATCCCAGTAAAAAACTTCAGTCTAGCCAGATTTCCTCCTATGCTTTACTCTAATTTCTGTAGGAACCTTCCAGTGAGACAGCTATCCTAATCAGATCAGTAAAGGGACAGAAGTCTTTGAAACCTGCAGTTTTTGGAGCATCAGCGCACACTCTAAATGCACACATCGGGTTTCTGAGAAAATATCTCGTCTAAGCGGGCTTTATTTAACGGACTCATTCTGCTGCTGTAAAACATGGCAACCAGGACAGTTGTTGGAGCTGCTCAAAGGTCAACGGTTGTAAATTTAAAATGATGGCGGTCATAAGCCGCAGAGATGACTAATACCTTTTACATTCAGGAGAGAAGAGCAAAGGTCAGAGTGGACCGAGCAAACAACCGGAGTCATTACAAACATGCTTCATCCCGATCCCACCACTGGAGGGACGGATCACTCTTAGATAATCACTTATTTTATGTGTTTTATTCAGTTTTATATCTATGCATTATTTTTATTTTTTCCCCTAGTTTTACAAATAATTTTTACTTAAAAAAAAAAAAAACACTCATTTACACATTGTCCTTCTGTTACATGTGATCACCTGCTAAAATCATCCCATTTGTTCTGTTTCCCTTGCAGACTCTGAGGGAGAGAAGAAAAGCCAATGAAGGGACAGAAGAAAAGTCTGCAGATAAAAACAACAAGTTGCAAGAAGAGGATGAAGACTCTCCTCACAAGCTCTGCAGCTCTGTGGATCTAGACAAGGTGAGTTTCAAGCATTTTTCCTTCATGCTCAACATTGGTCCTATTGCTTTACACTAGTGGATCCTGCAGTAAGAGAAGAGCCCCAAAGGAAGTGGAGGATGTCCAGAAAGAAAAAGTGGTCAGCAGTTGATGATTGCTCGTACGACTGGCTGCATAAAAAGCACAAGAAGTAGATTTCTGTGCATTCATCGAAGTGACAGTTTTGTAGTAATTTTGAGAGTTAGAAGCAAAATTTTTATGAGAGCTGCTATTTCCGACTTTCCTTCCAAGCATCCAAGTCTTCCAACTTCCATGTTGTTTTTTGAAGAGTTCTTTTGGAGTTTTTTCTGCCAGTCTTCACAGAAAAGAGGTCTTTGAGAAGCGTTTTCATTGGAGATGATCTTTAACAATCAGAGCTTCCTTTAGTTAGAAGAGGCCAAAGCTGATATTTGGAAAGAGGCAATTTATTATCCAGTTTTCGTTTGTCTGTAGAAACCTTCATGCATTTTTAGAAAAAGCTCATAAAGTAAACGTATAGATCAGTCTGTCCTGTGTATAGAAATGCATTTGTTCCAGAAATCTTTATTTCAACAACTTAAGGTATCAAAAATATATTTTGAAATAAATTCTTGGTTTTTCTGGGAGCGGCATGAGGGGTGGCAGTTTAGGTTATTTACTTAAAGTATACCTTAGACTCTAGGAAGAGGAAAAAGAAGCAAGGAAGGAAGTTAGGATGTAACGTAAGGAAAAGAAAGAAAGGAAGGAAGGAAGGTAGAGCAGGATGAAGACTGGAAAGGAAGTGGGGTGTAACACCAGGAAAGGAAAAAGGTAAGAGAATAGGGAAGGAAGACATGAATAAATTAAAGTGTGGGTGGAAGGAAGGATACGGATGCACCAGTATAGTATGATAAGGAAGGAAGTGTGGTTGGTTAAATGGGAAGCAAGGTCAGATAAATAAAAAGAACTGAATGGAAGAAAAAAAAAAAACAGCTGAGGTTCATTAGATAATGTTTAAAAAACAAACTTAATAGTTTGTGACTGTGGAAATGTCCAGACTCCACACATCACTTTAAAATGTCATAAAGAAACTCTGGCTGCTTGAATTGAAAGAAAGAAGAGATCAAAAGGTGGTTTTTCAGTTTTCCACTGTACTGTTTCTGCATCAGTCTTCACCACTAAGATTGCTGTATTCAGGTAAAAACAAACAGTCGATCTGGTTGGAGGGAAGTGAACAGCCATCAGGTCATTCACCCAGGATCTTTTCAAACGGCTACCGTTTATTTGTAGTCCTTAATGTTCTCACCCTGTTAGAGGCATGTGCTAACATGTGAAACACACAGGCTACTACACAACAAGGTTTCATAAGACTGGTTCTTAATGCAGCCTCAGGTAAATGTCTGTTAACATGGTTCACCTGAAAGTGAGATTCATTCATTCATTTACGTTGTCCAACCTGTGTGTTTTTCCACTAGCTGCTGCATAACCAGGTCACTGCATGCCTCCCTGTGCTAATGACAGATTCAACCCGTCCGTCTGGATCGTTCTGTCTCCAGGCAGCAGTGTATTAAATAAGATGATTTCTCTAACCGTTAAGGACATCAGCGAAGGCGTGGCCTACTCCCCAAAGCGTCTGTTTCCAGCTGTGCCCTGGGCTTTAAGAATTGATGAAAAATCTGGTATCCTGAGTCTGCAGGTTCCCACATCCATCCTCACTCTGTGACACTCCCTTCACAGAGACGTGCTGTGGTTTCATTTCATCAGGCCCGGGCTAAATCTGTCTAACTCTGCCGGCTTCCATCAAACTCCAGAGGTGTGGTGAAACAGTTGGGCCGCTGCTGATGCAATCAGCTTTGCATCTATCGAAAATCTTCCCTTTGCCAGCTGTGTGACATGTTTGTCCTTCTGTGACTGCATGCCTTGATACATGGATAAGTTTCCGTCTGTTGTCTCACATCAGCGTTCAAATCAGCAAGCAGACCTCACCTTTTAATTATCAATTATTAAAATAATGCAACAGGCAGGAGTTGGCATTTTTATCATTAGGTGTATAGTTAAATTTTACACCTTACAATGGTGAATAATTTAGGAATCCAGTCTTAAAGTCGTAGGGAAGTCATATTTACATGTCAAATTGTTCTGGCATAAACATGTATATAAACGTACTCTTTATCAGAAGATATTGTCCCAAAAGTTAGAAAATTTCTATTTAAAAAGATACCGTCTTAAAATCTGTGGGGGTTTTGTCGTTATTTTCTGCAGGCGAGTTATTTATAC